AGGAAGAGCTGATCAGCACAGTCCTGCTACCCTGATCTCCTAGCTGTGCTCCCCACTGGAATGTCTGGGGTCAACGTCCCCAGTAGAGACCAACATATTCCTGCCAGCTGCCTGGCCGCGCTAGGGATGCCGGTCCCAGCAAGCATGGATACAGATGGCCTAGCTGTCTGCTGGTGCCCACGGGCCAGGCTGCAGCAGGTGCTGCCCAGGAGGAAGGTACTACTGACGGTTGCAGGAGACCAGACCCTGAGAGAGGCTGCATCAGTGGGTCCCCGCACACACACATTCACATGTACACGCTCAGAATACGGGTTCACGTCTTCACCTCTGCGACTGTATTAACATCTCTGCTCACATACAGTCAGACATGTTTGCTCACAGAAGTGCTGGTGTTCACACACACTCACATGCAGACACACGCTCTCACACACAAGCAGCCTCATCTGTTCACATGCAATCACACACTCTGACACATGCATGTATCCGGACGCTCACACAGTCGCAGGTGTCAAAATGCTAACATGGTCCCACACATGTTCTCACACATGCTCACATGCACTCACATTTGAATACACACACACGCTCACATACATGCACTTACACATGTATGTACACACCCGTGTTCCACACATAATACACACCCTCTCACCAACACAAACACAAGCTTCCACACAGTGCACACCCAGACACACAGGTGCTCTCCCATGCACGAGCAAGCACACCCGCACAGGGCCACCTGTATACTCTCTCTCTCACACACACACACACACACGGCCGCATGTGCTCTCACACACACATACATGCACACATACACACACACAAAGAGGGCTGCGTGTGCTCTCACACACATGCACGCACATCCACACAGGGCCGCCTGTGCTCACACACACACACACGGCTGTGTGTGCTCTCACACACATGCACACCCATCCACACAGGGCTGCCTGTGCTCACACACACATGCACGTGCACACACGCACTGACATACACACACATCCACAACAGGACCACTTGCGCGCGAGTGTGCGCGCGCACACACACACACGCACGTCCGCACAGGGCCACGTGTGCTCTAACGTGCTGTGTCTCCCCACTATGTAGGTACGCCTGGCTGGGCCATGACTGTTGGTGGTTTAGGAGTCCCACAGTGATGTGATCCCCACACGTGCACACAGAGCACATGTGATGCATGCTGGCCTGACCAGTCCATCAGCTGTACAGGGACACAGATGCTCCGATCACATGTAAAAGGAGTGTCTCTTTTTCACAGAAGAAATGAAAGGAGACGCGAGTACAGAGCATCGAGGGCAGGAGTGTCCAGAAAGGAACGCAAGGAGCCCTGGCTGAGGACGGCGAGGTCCAGAGGAGACGGCTGCCGAGACGCGTGGGGAGCTCCAGCGGATGCCGGGCCCGCACAGGGCACGACGCATCCCCCGGACCCCGCGGAGAGCGGGCCTTCCTCAGGACACTTGAACTCAGGCCCACTGTGTGTGAACACAGCGTCCGTCCAACCGCAGCGCGGCCGTCACCGCAGCACCGGCTGCTCACTTGCACGCATTTTCACATGCCTGCACACTCCTGCCTACATTCACGTCTACACGTGCACCGGCCCACGTGTGCTCACACGTTTACACACGCACACAAGCTCGCTCACTCATGCGCACACACTCACACACATCGCACATGCACCTCTTTACGTGTTTACACACCTATATGCGTGCCCACCTGTACGAATGCTTACGCGTGCTCATGTTTGCACACATGCTCACGTACCTCCATGTGTAAGTGCACGCACACAACATGCTCATGCACTCACATGCGCCTGGACACATACACACACTCATGCCCACTCGGCTCGTCTCAGGCACCCCAGCCTCTGCTCTCAGGCTGCTTCCCTGACCTCAGCCCCACAGCCACTGCTCTGCTGCCCAGCACACGTGGCTACAGACCCTCCTCAAACGTTCCTCAGAGACCTCCGGGCCCATCCGCGGGGTAACTCTCACCAGTCCTGCACACAACCATCAGGAGAGAAGAAAAGCAGCGACGTACTGAACAGTCGGTGCACAGGATCACTGCGCCGTCTCAGCCACGGTCCTGAAGCCCAGTACTGACCATGCGGAACAGGGGGCAGCAGAAGAGCCTCGACAGTGGGGGAATGCGGAACAGGATGCAAACATCAGGTCAGCCTTGCTGATCCTAACACGGCTGTGGAACTCCGAGACGGCAGCCCTCAGTGACCTCTGAACACGGGACAGCATACGTCTTACTTTCACCCAAACACCCTCACCAGGGTGGTCCTCCTCCTCAGCGTCCCGTCACACAGGGTCAAGGGGGCAGCACTGTCCAAGGGTGGACCCGGAAGGCAAGAAGTGGAAAGAGTGGCTGAAAGGAGAGAGGAGCCCCAGCGCAGCAGGCGAGACGCGGCCCCTGCGGGTGCTGTATCAGGCTAAAGGTGCAGGAAGGGCTGACTGAAAACCAGACCACTCGATCAACTTTCACTCCAATCACCATGTCAAGAAACACCCGAGCCTGGCCTGCTTCCTCCTCAGCCCCTCCCCGCGTGCGTCCATGCCCACGCCTGGTCGAGGAGGCCGCACCCAGGACAGGGCTGGTACAGCAGCACGATAGCTGTGGGGTGCCGAGGCCAGGCAGACCCCATTCGGCAACCGAGAAACCGAGGTTCAGGGGAAAGGCTGTGGCGCATCCGTGCATCTCAGCAGCCCCTCAGCGCCCACTGGCTCTCGACACGGCCCCCCACGGGACCCAGGCTACAGTGTAAGTGTGGCCCTGCCCTGGCTGATGCTTGTCCAAAGTGGCCTCTTCAGTCCCCACAAAATCTCCCCAGGACTTCGAGGCCTTTGCCGGCCCCAGCAGGTGGCCCCTCGAGTCACAGTCATGGCCCCTCCCCAGCAGAGACTCAGAAAAGTCCATCAGTCCAGTCCCCACAGCAGCACTGGGACCCAGGACCACCTGGCTGGACAGTCCTGCACCCCTTGAAGCCCATCACCCACTCTCTGCCCAAGGAAAGAGGAGGAAGCAAGCAAGTCAGAGGTCACTGACCACAGGCCAGCTGACTATGCTGGGGTGTCCCCACTCTGACAGGTGGGCAGGCACCAGGCCAGTGCTGACCCCAGAGATTGGCTTCATTGCTTTCTCAGCCAGGAGCCAGGCAGGTAGTGGATGGCCACTCTGCTGAGAGGGCAGTGCCAGGTGACCTTGGGTAAGGCCTCTAGTCCAGGGCTGAGACCCTCACACACCAAGGGCCCTCATGTACCTGCCATATTCTGCCCCAGCCCCTCCTCACTCCCGACACAAGGAGCCTCCAAGGAGCACAGACGGAGCCTCTGAGCACAGCCTGTCCCACATCTAATACGAGGCCAAGACGGGAGGGGTCAAGAGAGAAGTGGTCCAGGACCAAGTCCCTGAGCAGGAGGGTCCAGAGGTGCCCTCCATGCTGGGCAAAGCCACCATGAGTCCTTGGACCCCTAGGCTTGTCTCCCCCACTTCGGGGAACACGGCCCAGATGTCAATGGTGGGGGCTGGGGAATCAATCAATCTGAGCCTCGTTCCCATGATCCAGGCTCTTATTAAGTAAATTAATTTAAGTTAATTTAGCTCGATCATGACCCCTGATCACAGTGATTTAGTGGGGAAATTGCATTAGGAAAGGCCAGGCTCACCAGACAGAAGAACGGAAGAAAATGAGATCCACTTAGCAATGTGAATTAATATGGAAATAGCAGGTGTAAATTTAACCTTATTGAGAGAGTGAAAATGATCTTCATAAATTTGTAGAAAGAGCCCCTAAGATGCTTATAAATCTATTTAAAACAAAAATATTACAAAAATAAAACTCCAGTAAAATTAATTTAAAATATACTTCCAGCTTTTTCTTGCCTCCAGAAAAGTCCATGGAAGTTGTGCACAGGTGAGAACAGAGGCCAGAGATCATCAATCCCAGACACCCTTGCCCTCAGCGGGCACCCCACCTGGCCCACACTCAAGGGTGACAGGATGCTGGGAGGGCAGCCCAACCTCCACGGGCATCAGGTCACCCTGCAGCAGACTCTGTTCCTAAACTAGGACTAGGGGCAGCCCAGGGCGACAAACAGGAGAGGGACAGAGGGGTGGGTCAGCCATTGCCCACTCACTGCCCCCCCTTAGCAGAGGAAAGGGCCCCAGAGCTTGGGTCACTGCCAGCGATAGCCAAAGCAACTGGGCTCCAAGACTGTCCTGTCCACATGCTGTGTGAGCTGACCAGTGACAGAGTGGGGCACCCTGAGGAGGGAGTGTGTGCCCACATGTGCGTGGAAACCTAAGCACCAAACACGTTGTATGTGTGTGTGCATATATGTGTGCATGGGTGTGTGGCGGTATGCACACGTGTGTGTGAATGAGTGCTTGTGTCCTTGTGTGTATGCATGTGCACACATATGAGTTGTTGAATGCATGTGTGTATGTATGTGTGCATTTGTGCGTGTGCATGTGTGTGGCTGTATGTGTGCACGTGCATGTATACGTGTATTTGTGTGTGTGCACGTGTGTGGCTGTATGCATGTGTGTGTGGTTGTGTGTGTGCATGTGTGTATGTATACGTATGTGCACGTGAGTGGCTATATGTGTGTGCATGTATGCATGTGTGCACACATGTGGATGTGTGCGTGTGTGCATGTGTGCGCGCATGTATGCGTATGTGTGCACATGTGTGGCTGTATGCATGCATGTGTATGCAGCACGCATGTGCAGGCATGTGGTCGGACAGGCCAGTAATCCCTGGGGTGGAAAACACTAAACACACAGAAGAGCTCTGCAAGTCCCCAGCTAACGAGCTGTGGCGCAGGCTCACCCCGCACGCACTCTGCCCGCCTGGGTCTCCCCCTGCATGGCCACCAGACAGATGTGATGGCCCCCTCCAAGTCCCTAGCCCTGTTGACAGAGCAGTCAGTGTCCCCTTCCCCCAGCGGTCAGTGCACACACACACCCCAGCAGTGTCTCTGTACCTGGGCAGCAGGAGACGCCGGGTGCGCCAGGTGGGCAGGCCATGGTGGAAGGGTGGGGTGCCAAGCGGAGGGGGAAGGCTCTTCTTGACGATGCGGTAGCGGGTCTTGATCACTTTGCTGCTGGGTGACGTGCGCAGGGCGTACAGGCTGCTTGCTGCAAAGAGACCAAGTCCAGGATCAGCAATCGGCAGGAAACCTGGAGCCCAGGGTCAGTGGGTGAGGGCTCCTCTGACCCAGATCCATAATCTAGGCGCCTTACCCGAGAGCCTGGCTCTGTCACTGAAGCCATCTCCAACAGGCCCTCCTCAGGGGGCAAAAACTCTGCAACGTCCACGTCCACAAACACCTGACAGGACCCGCTCAGCTCTTAGCGCCTGCCACGGCCTGGGGAACTGTCCGGCACACATGGTCCAGGTAGCTGGCCTGGACAGCCATGTGCTCAGCCCTCACCAGCAGTCCCCAAAGCCGAGGAAGGGCAGGGAGGCTACATGGCCACAGAACATGGGGCCAGCAGACACAGAACAAGCTGCCACAGCACCACTGGCCCCCTGGCCTCATCGCACAATTCACCCCCCTGCAGGCCAGTGGACACTGAGAGCTGGTCACGGCTCCACTGCCCCTGGCCCTTCACTGAGCCCTGCCTGACACGCTGACGTGTGCGATCATCAGCTTCTGCAGCGTACTGTAGGCTGAGATGCCACAGCTCTCACGCCGACCGGCTGGCAGGGCGGGCAGACTCTTTGGCCAGAGCACCTTCCTGGCCAGCGGTTGTCTGGGCTCGGGAAGGCAGTGTTAACTGCCTGGCTTTCACCAGAGGACACTGACTGCCCAGATCAGGAAAGCTCACACAGCCCAGGCCACAGGCACCTGCCTCCCAGCCAGCTCACTGTGTAAGGACCCGCCTGTCCCACACAGGCTCAACACCTCATGCTGATGCCCCGACAGACTGCTCCCACTTCCTGTACTCAACCCCTACCCTAACCTGGTCCTCCTTACCAGCTCCGCTGGTCCCAGGCCAAGTGACACGCCCACCTGCATGGGGCCAGACGTTGCCAAAGCAGTGCTCTGTGGCTGGGGGAATGGCCAAGGGCCTCTGGCCTGGCCTCCCCACTCAGCTGTGTCCACAGCGCCAACAGCGCCCCCTGTCCACACCCAATCCCCTCAGATGAAACTACCTTCTCCCTCCCGCTGCGGGTCCCGAGAGGCAGGGTGGACGGAAGGTGAGGGGTGTCCTGAGGCCACGTCCTGGTAGGCTGATGATACCAGCCCCCAGGGGCCGGTCAGGAGACAGAGCAGCATGCAGAGCTAGGCCAGCTGGGGCCCGGCCTCTGCCCCGCTCAGTCACTAGCTGCTCTCGGCCCACGAAGGTGCCCTCCTCAGAGGGACCCACTCAGGAGCGAGGGCGGCCCGAGGCCAGGCCCCCGCCCAGCCGCCTGCACGCCCGCCAGCAGCACTCCTCGTTCCTCCTGCTGGCTGCGGGGGTTTTGTGTAGATAATCATGTTATTTAGATAGGATGTTAGTTTAATTCCCTTCATTACAGCCTCCCAGGGTTGTAATTTTTTTTCTCCGCATGATGTATTCCCCGTGGCACATTTCACTCAAATCGAGTGCTTCGCGCCTTTACTGCAAACAATGCCCCAGCGGTCTTATCAGGCCCACACACACGGCCGCGCCCCGCCATGCCGGGGTCACTGCTAATGACTAATCGATCTCATTAGCTTTCCTAATTAAAAACTTTACTACCGCAATGGAAGACGAAGTACAGAAAATCTGCTGGCATCATATTTGAATGGGATATGAGGCCATCCATCAGGCGCCTCGGCCTCCTGCCCACAGTGCACTCTAGGCCGGCTCTCCGGGGCCTTCTTGGCCGGTCAGCACACTCAGCAGGCTGGGCAGGGCTGCCCGCGAGGGTGGACCAGCAGCTGGCACGGACACATGATGGCCCACAGCTCACCGCCTGGACTGTGGCTCAGTGGCTAGGCTGGAGGCACACGAGGCAGCTCGGGGTGCCCACCTCTGTGCCCACCGTCCCGTCCGGGGGCAGAGTCGATTCAAGCCCCATGCTGGCTGCCTGCCCAGCTCGAACTGAGCTCGGGTTGAGGAGTTCAGAGTTTTATGGAACTTAGAAGGGAAATAACCAGAAAGAAAATGAGCTGCTAATTTCACAATTGGTTAATGAGTAAGATGAAAGGAGAATTGCTACTTTGTGTGAAGTGTAGCTAGGGTGGAGGGAGGAGGCTCCAGGCTTGAGGGGAGGGGGTGTGGTCTGCCCAGGCCCTCGTGTCACGGGCCTAAGTCCAGAGAAGGCCCGTTCCAAAGCGAGGGACAGAGAAACCCAGCTGGCTGCGGAGATGACAGCTCCTGGACCAGGCCTGGTGATGGGCCTTGTGCTGTGAGTCCCTCCTGGGTCTGTGAGGCTCTGACGCATGTGTCCCAGGCCATGTGGGAGAGTCAGAAACAGCCATGGAGGCCAGGCCAGGCCAGCCCAGCTCCACGAGTCCACAAACAGCAGGCATGAGAGCCAACACAGGCCCTAGATAAAGGCACCACACAGCATTAGGAAGATAACATCAGACGGCGGGTGGGTGTCACGCCACTGTGTCCTCACTACAATGGACGGAGTGCCCGACCAGGCCCTGCCTCCCAGAGGACTGGGCTAGCCTGCTGTGGCAGCTGCACTCCAGGAAGGCTGGAGGTGGGCACAGGAGCACACCATGTGGGAGCCCATGCACAAGGCATCACACTACCCCACCTTGCTGGCCTGCACCAGGCTGTGGCATGGAACTCGGGGAGGACACCGAGCGGACACACAGGGTGTCCGAAGGCAGGGCCAGCACGCTGTACTCACCGCTGAGGACAGCATGGCCAGTGCGCTCCTGGCTGGGACTGCTCATCCTTCCACGGAGCGACCACAGGGCACCATGCCCTACAGCCTTATGCCCAGCCCACAGGGACTGGCTCAGGCCCTGACCTGTGCCCACTGAGGCCCACGGTCACAGCTCAGCCCATCTCTCTAGGACAGGCTCCAGCGCTGCTGTGGGTCAGGATACCCAGTGGACACAGAACAGCGGTCTAACGAGAGTAAGGGATTCATCCAGAGAGCACAGCACTCCCCAGTGGGCCTGTCTGCAGGGACCAGTGTCCCTCCCTTTAGGAGCCAGGGGCATCCACCACCCACGGTGCTGGTCGAGAAGGCTCAGAGTCTCGGTCCTCAGGGCCAGCAGCACACCAGGGAAGCATCTGCTTGGGGCAGGATCTGCTCACAGGCCTCCCAACACCGGCACCACAATCCTTAGGTCAAAACAGTCCCCAAAGGTCCCCACACAGCCTGCGCACAGCAGTCCAGGACACCTCCAGATGTCCACGTACGATACCATCTCTCACCCAACCCTGGAGCCACCTCAGCCCCAGGGCCACACGCCCACCATGAGGCCCTGTCCTCACCCCCGTCCTGGGTGCAGCACCCACTGATTTACAGCCACACCCCGAAACCTGAAGAGGGTGAGCATGAGCGCAGTACCTCCCTCCCTCCGCTCGTGCTGACCGTCATCAGGCTGGAGGCCTGCGCTGGACCACACCCCTGCCCTTCTCGCCCCTTTCCTTCCACCCAGGCCCATCTCAGAGACCAAGGAAAGCTTCAGGAGGGTGGAACACGGGAGCTGGGTAGTCTGATCCCTGCTGAGCACCTGAGGCGGGGAGAGCCCGGGCTCCCAAGGGCCTTGGATGCAGGCAGCTACGTGCCGCCCGCATATCCCGCTCAACCGTCCTCACCCTCGCTCTCGAGGGTGAGCACCTCGAGTTCTTGAGAGGACAGCCGGAACAGTGCCTTGCCCAAGATCACACCGTCCTGGCACTCTGGAGCCTGGCCAAGCTGGCCACTGGCGCCACACCACCCCAGTGCCCACCGCTGTGTAAGGACAGGCATGGACATCCTCTTCCAGCAGACAGAACCCTGCAGGGAGAGGTAGGGGATGGGTGGGGGTCCCACAAGGCTGGGCCAGCTGCCACTGCCTGGGGAAAGGAGCCCATGGAACAGCCTGTCCCAGGAATTGGGGGCGCCTGCGCCCTCTCCCCGCAACAGAAACCCCAACGTCGGGTACACAGTCAAGCTGCAGAGAGGGCAGCCGCTCGGCTATAAAAGGAGGGCCCAAGAGGGCAAGTGGCCACTGCGGGACGGGTGGGGTCCCGGGGACAGGACCGCTGCAGCAAATGAGTGGCCGCCCCGTCCTGCACAGGTGAACTGGGGCCACCCTGTCAGCTCTCATCGCTGTCCCCTCCCACCACCTCCCAGGCCTCTCTGGCTTGGCCTCATTACCATCACAAAGCCCCTCCTTGGGAAGGGTTATTAACGTGCACACAGGCGGGACAGTGGAGATGGGGCTGAGGAGGAGTACCCCCACCCGCACACCCCCCACCCCCGCACGGCAGGAGCTGCCAGGGCGCAGCTCTAACAAGCTTCAGTGCGCTGACTGGAGTCACCGAGTATGAATTTTTATGAGCCTAATAAATCACTCCACTTTTCCTCTTCTTGATCACTTCCAGCACTTCAGACACAGGGCTGCCTGTGCTGGATCAGCCCACAGCCGTGGAGCTGAGTGGCAGACGGGCAGCCGAGGACCAGGAGCCACGCTCCACACTCCACCCACCCAGAGTCCTCCAGCCGGCCCACCAGTGGTTGTTTCTAGGGCAGTCTCTCGGGAGGACCGGCTCTCACAACTTGACGGCACAGAGGATCCGCTGTCCTGCCTGTCGGCAGACTCGCTAAGACAGCGAGGGCCCCAGGCAGGCACCTACAGGTGGCCAAGGGCATGCCTGCCTCTGTCCCACCCAGAATGAGCACAAGAGTCTGGAGACCATGATGAGGCGGTGGCAGGGCACACGTGCATACCCACATAAACAGCCCTCCCTGCAGGGGACAGGGGACGGTCACCCTGCCGGTCCAGGGCACACACTGCCGTCTTCCAGGAGGGCTGGATGTCGTCTCTCAGGGTCACCCACACCGAGGGCACGGGCACCACCAGGCAGGCTCCCAGCTTCCTCTTGTGCTGACCACGCTGGACGGTGGCTGGACTCAGAGAGTGATCTGGCTGCGATGAGCGTCCCTGACTACCCGACCACGGCGATGCTCTGAACTGCTGTCTAACCGTGGA